GGCGCAGGGGAGGGGCTCCAGGGCGGGCGAGGAGGTGCGGGCCCAGGGAGAGGAGGAGGCGGGTGACGGGGAAGCGGGGCCAGAGGAAGTGGGACGGCGACCCCCCGGGGCCTGAAGCGAGTCAGGAGATGGGGGCCGGGGATCCCTAGGTTCCTGCCCGGTCCTTTCGTCAAAATGACCAGAATCGGCGGTGGAGCAGAAGAGAGTTGAGCGATTGAACTTAATACAATCTCTTCATTTGGGGGGAAGTTGGTCGTATTTCTGTGTTTTGGTTTTAGTTTTGTTTTGTTTCTCTATTTCTGTTTCTTCCTCTCCAAGTATTTCTCTGTCAAGTCATTCTTCTTACCCAGAGTTGCCCTTTCTTTCTTTCTTTTTTTCTTTCTTCCTCTCTTTCTCTGTTTTTCTTTCTTTCCCTCTCCCCCTTCCTTCCTTCATTCCCTTTTTTTTAAACTTTGCCCTCTTCAGAGAATTTGACTAAAGTCACCTGAATTATTTGTGCTAAGAATTCTTGTCTGTGGATAGTGTTTTGAGTCATAATATTCTAAATTCACATTAAACCTTAAGCCGGTGAACATTCTAACCATTTGCGTTGGATACAAGCTATAAAGAATTTCAAAGCATAACATTACCAAGTTTATTTAAAACTCAAATTGACAAAATTTCCATGCTTCTCCAGTTACAGCTGCTGTGATCTTTTACCTATTAAGGTAAGAAACATTCAAACCTGTGAAGACTTTTTGTGAGTTTATTTGAGCCAAACTGTTGACAATTGCCAGGAAGCAGAATCTCAACGGATTGAGATAATGCTCTGGAGAATGGCAGTTTTGCACTTTGTTTTATACGTTACAGTCAAAAGAGGAGGAGACATAAGTGGGTTACATGGAATCCATTATTTATTTATTTATTTATTTATTTATTTATTTATTTATGTATCTATCTATCTATCTATCTATCTTGGTATTTATTTCGTGAAAGCCAGGGTGGAACGTTATTGGCAAAGGCCAGGTCAGAAATGGCCATGTTACTGGGAGATTAATCTGGCAGCCTGTGTGGATTGAAAGATAAAGAGATGGGGGTTAGGACAGTGGTTCCCAACTCTAATGCCATTCCCATATGCTTTGAAAGTTTTAAACCATCAGTTGTATGTGCGTGTGTGTGTGTGTGTGTGTGTGTGTGTTGCCAGTCTGAGCTTCTGAGCATCATAAGAGTATCAGTGTAACTGCCCTAAGCATAAAATAAATGCAGCCCAAAGCCCAAGAACATGGAAGTGTAGTGTGAACAGCCTAGTGCTGTTTGATTGAGGAGACTTTCCATGCTGAACCCAGCTTTTGGGATGCTTATCACTTGAACTTTCTTGAGCCCCCATGGGCCTCTTGGACCTGGGTTGTGCCATTGGTGTAGATAAGAGGTAACAAAGGGTAAGTTATGAGAGGGGCAGTAAGGGGAGAGGGAAGGAATGCAGGAAAGAAGATAACAGAATTGAAATGACTTAGCCCCTGAATTGGCAAGAGTAGCTAGGGCTGGGGAGGAGGTACCGGTAGAGCTGGGATGACAGGAAAGAGCTGGTAAGGGAATAATGATAGTACTTGCTAATGTCCTATAGCCATCAGACAAGACTTCATGGAGGAGGCTGAACTTGTACTTACTGTGTGTCTGGCACTCTTGGAAGTCATCATTCAGCTACAACCTGAACACTTCATTCAATCAACCAGAAAGTCATCAATTTTTCACTGGACACAGGTGTCTGCAGAACACTCAGTGAAGGAAAAGCAAAGCAAATGAAATGTATTCCTTGTCCTGGGGAGCGGGGTCTAGAGGGGGAGAGGTGAATAAATACGTGTGATGTGGTTTACTAGAACTAGGAAAACAGGACAAAATGGTCAAGATTAGAATCTGAAAGGAAGATGAGCTACAGAGATTACACTGAAGCCTTCAAACTGTAAGAGCTGATTCTTGCTTAACAGAATGAAGATACAGAAAGAGATCGGAATGTCCCTGTTCTCCTGACCATATTCCAACTTAAATAATAGTAATTCTTTATATATTTGAGCTCCCTGAGTTAGGATCATGTTCTTTCTTTGATCTCTTGTTTTTTACCCCTGCTCTTTGAGGTTTGACATTTTCTCAATCATCTAGATCAGTGGTCGCCAACCGATGGTCCGCGGACCACTGGTGGTCTGTGAGGTCTGAAAGGTTGGCGACCGCTGATCTAGATAAAGTTGGAGGCCTTTTCAATGGTATGTTGCCAGGCCACTGTTCTCCTGACTTTAAAAACATAGTTTCCTCTCCTTTCGAATTAAGCTCTGAATTCTACATTCTCAAACTTGCTTGCTGTGTTTGCGTACTTGTAAGCATTTTTTCACAGTTCTAAATGGTGAACGGACTTTGCCCAGGAGTTTTATCATTAATTGACATTCCTTGGAGAAGAGAGTAATTCTGTTGTATTTTTTTTTTTTCCTGCAGCTCAATGGCCTCCCGAAAGAAGAAGCTTCAAGGTCTGGTTGCTGCAACCATCACGCCGATGACCGAGCATGGGTAACTACTATTTGGGACCTTAAAGGGATCTGTTTTCCACCAAAATGGACTGATGTTCTCTGTGTAACAGTCACTTAATCTATGCACTTCTATGGTACTGTTGTCTCTGGCCCCAAGTCAGAGACGAGGTCTCTATATCTCAAACAGTGCAGAAAGAGAGAAAAGATATAGCAGCTCTCCTTTCTCCCAGGGTCTGTAGCTCCACAATGCAAATTCCCCTTGGATTTTATCACAGCTTTGGCTTCCCAAAGAAGGCCAGTGGAATTGGATGAGACTTTCATTTTAGCAGGATTTGACCTCAAACCCTGACCTGGCTCCTCTAGATCCTGTCTCTAGACATCTGCATGATTTCACCTCAGGCTGTTCATAGACAGGATGAAAATGGAGAAGGTAGCTGTAAGAGGGACCCCTTACGCATGTTTGCAGTCTCATTTCAACATCGGTTACATGTTGGGGAGCCTGCAGGAGTGGGAGGTAGCAACAGATGATTGCTGAGAAATCATTGGCCAAACAAGTATTTTGACTTCCACATGAATAATATGGCCATCCATACTGTTTTGCTTACACTGTCAGATAATAGTCATGTGCCGTACATGTCCATACGTGAAATATAACTTCTCCCTGGGACGTTGCCACTTAGGAAAAGGAGATTCATCCACCTCTTGCATCTAAATGTTTTTGACATTTTAGAGAAGTCAGTCTGCCAAAACCATCAGAATTCTGGTTTCTTTAAGCTTCTTCTTTCTTCCTCTACAAGATATAAATGATCATGGAGTTATGTGTGCTAAGTGAGATTATCCATAGAATAGTGCTTAGCTTTGGATCAATATGCACTTAGATCCATAAGTTTGAACTGCTTTTGTGGCATAAGACCGGGGGTAAAAGGAAGATGAGGAATTTAAGGTATTTTTAAATAAGGCTCTTACTTATTTTTGGTTTTCTGTTGCTGAATTTGTCAACATTAATCCTACCCCTTTAAAGTAGATGAAATTTCTTTAACTTGTATTGTTATCAAAGTTGGCCATATTACAGTTTTCCGTTTAGATCATTGTGAATTCAAGAATTCCAGCTTCTAGGATTCATGAAAATTCACATCTTTGCTAGTTCTAAATAAAACTCTTGCTGAGATGCCATTTAGATTACTCAATGGTTAGTAGCATTATTTTTTTTTTTCCTGTTGCTTCTCTGTTTCCACAAGTTCTAAGAAAGACTGAAGTCAGCTCCTTCTCGTTGTGTCAGCCACTTGCTGGACAGATAAAACAGAGGACATGTGATTGCATGAGCAGGCAGAATTTATTTCCTGTTTGCAAACTCAAAACCCTACATCTGGTCTATGCTACTTTAATCTTTTCAATCAGACCCCTGTTAGCCTAGAAGTGGCTTTTTAAAACAGTCTCATTTATTCATCTGGGACCCATTGAGAGTGTCATTGTGTTCTTCCTCCCTATTCTGCTGTTTTCCTGTGGCCACATGTATAGATTACTAACATAACTTTGCTCTGCTGGTTCCTTCTCCGTTTCTCAAATATTTCTGGCCCTCCTGCCTCCACTTCACTGTTTCCTCTTTTTTCATCAATTCAAATCAAAATAAGAATGTATTTTTTGTAAGAAACTTGTAAGAATTAAATTAGTACATTAAAAATGTATATAGCAGCCCGGCCAGTGTGGATCAGTGGTTGAGCCAGGTGGTCACAGTCCCATCCCAGGTCAAGGTACATGTCCAGGTTGTGGCCTCAATCCCCAGTGCGGGGCAGGTAGGAGGCAGCCAATTGATGATTCCCTCTCATCATTGATGTTTCTTTCCCTCTCAACCTCTCTCTTCCTCTCTTTGAAATCAATAAAAACACATTTAGAAAATAAAATATAAATAGGGCATAGTAGGCACATAAGCTATGTTGGTTCCCTTTTCTCCCACCAGCTGCTCCATCCAAACATTCCCATACATACAAAACAGGTTTGGAGCACCCATGAGGAGCAGCGGCTTTTAACTTACTTGCCCACAAGGGAATCTGCACTCCTGACATGTTTCTAAGAGATAGGACAAAAAGAAGGGTCACATGGAATCTCACACTGAACATTCTGCCTCGTGACCTGCCATTGTGGGGTTCTTATACGTGGCTCATACTGTATACGATGGCCTCCATGATTCTTGGCCGAACAAGAACTATTTATTCCCCTGTCTCCTTTTTCTTCATGATTCTAATCAACTCTCTGAATATAATTTGATGTCTTTAACTGGGGAAATTGGCAAAAAGAACATGTTAAATAGATTGTCTGAGTTGTTAACCTCTAGCTTTGCCACCAGCTAGCTGTCTGACCCTGGGGCCGTCCTGTCACCTTTTAAAAGTTCCCTTTCATATTCTGTAAAGAGAGGAAGTCCAACCACATTATCTCGAAAGGCCATTCTAATTCAGGGAGTCTGCAGTCCTCCAATGCTATGTCATCGGGGATATCTTGGTGATCCCCACTAATAAGAATGAATAAAATACCTGCAACTCCGGTTTCTCCTCCACACTATAGCCCAGTGAGCTTCCTCGTAAACCAATGCAATCATGTCACTCTCCTCTTTAAGAATCTCTGTTGAATCTAAGCCTTGCAACTCATTTTATGATCTGTGGACCATTTTCTCTAACATCACATAGGAACTTGCTAGAAATGCAGAATTTCAGATCCTCCTGCATAGGATCTGAATGAGCTGGGTGAAAGGTGAAAGCCTAGACCCTCTGGGATGACAGAGGAAGTCCTGTACAGTCTAACCATCCTGCTACACTTCCATTTCCCCCAAACACGTCATACCCTCCCTTCCTCTGTGCCTTTCCACATTCTGTTCCCTCTGCCTGTTTCTACCGCATCCTCTCCTTTCTCTGCTCCACTTGAACACTTCCTTCCATCTGCCAAAACCATCCTTTGGTGATTCTTTCCCATTTTCCCTAAAAAGAGTAAGAGGATCCCTCCCCTGCACCATGTGCACACCATTTTCCATCAGAATTACTTGTTTATAGTAAGTATTACAGTAAGCTGTTTGTTACATGCCCGTCTCTTCCAGGAGGCTCTGAGTGACTTCACCGTATTCAATAGACATTTCTCAAGTACCAGGCAGTACACAAGGATGGAGCATGTATCTTATTTATCTTGGAATCTTCAGCATCTAGCACAGTGTGTGCTGAATTTTGTTTTTTCATGAGTGAATATACTACAGGGATGATTAATGCTGATGGTCAAGTAAACAGGGAAGGAAGCTAACACTGATTGGCTAAACACTGTGTGTCAATCATGCTGGGTATTTCAATGTACATGTTCCAATTTAATCTTCACAACAAGTCTGTGACAGCTACCATCCCTATTTTTACATTGAATGAAACCAAGATCCCAAAGACCTTGCCCACAGCCACATAGCCGGAAAGGAAAGTCTCTACCCAGTCCAACCCCTGTCTGTTTCTACACGGGAGTAAAAGACTTTTGCTTTCCTTTGTTGTTTCAATAAGTCACTTTTTCCTTCAGGCAAGCACAGTCATTAGAACAGAAAGTCCATTTCAGCTTGGTTACAATGTCAAGAAAAAAAAGTTGTGTTTTCTCCCTCAAATGCCCTTGACTTCACCGTGGGAATCTTCACCACATTCTCTAGTAAAACAAAACCCACTACCCCAGTCAGAAAGGGCCTGGCCTGCTGGCGTCGGAGTTGTACAGATTACCGTCTTTTTACCTGTGTTCGGGAGACTGTGACCCATATTCCCAGAACATGCCCTGGCACGGTGGGGCTGACATAATCCCTGCCCACGTCTCTGCTGAAGGAGCTTCAAAGTAATCAAGTGGTTACTTTGCCAAAAGCACACATAACTTCCATTGATTTCAAAGGCTGAAAAATGTAGGGGAAAGGCAAAAAAGTTGGAATGTCAGGTTCCCCGATGTGCACGCCAGATCATGCCCATTGTGAAAAGAGCCTGCCTGTCCTCTTGATTCTGTATACACAGTCTTTCCTGTGTATTGTGTGCCCGGAGAGGAAATACACAGTAATAGGGATTTTTCTCTGAAAAGACACTTCAGAAAACTCTATTATCCTTATACTGTAAGAGAAGAGATCGGTATAGTCTACGTGTGGTTTCCTAGTTCACCACTCAGGGCCTCGATTTATGGTTAGAAATAACGTGATTAAAGATCTCTCTTCTTATAGAGTTTGTAAGTAAATGAAATGTCTAAGAATAGAGCATTAGCTAAATTAATTATGTCTATTTATACAATGAGATGCTGTGTAGCCAGTATAGTAACAGAATATCTGAAGAGGTGGGGAAATAGTCAATTTAGAAATGCTGTGAAGAAATATTACAATACTGTATAATAAGCCTATATTTACTTAAGAAAATACTATATTGTGTATTTGTGAACAGAAAACTATCAAACTAATAAGAGTAATCATCTCCAGGAGGATCCTGAGTGGTTTATTTTTTCCTTTCTTATTGTGTGAACTTTCTAAAATACAAGATATAGCTTCTGTAATAAGAAAAAAAAAGTTAAATACTTTTATTTAAAATACAATCATGGACCTAAGGCAAAGAATCTGAACCCATGGGAACTGAAATTAAGATATTAAATTGGAGTTCAGACTGAGAATGACTCCAGGAAGCATGGGGTTGGTTCAGGCCAGTCTCCCCCGAGACTACTGGTGAGCTGTGTTCTCGGGGCTCCCGGAGGAAGAGAAGGTGCAGTAAAAAGCCGGTCCAGCTTTTTCAAGTGACCTGGCTGGTGCCCCTCTCACCTCCATGAGCACCAAGCCCCAAACAGCTAGTGAGGAGAAGAATAATTCATCCTCACTGTTTCCTTCTCTCTAGTGACTTCTTGGTAACGGACAGAGTGCCTGCAGCAATGGACATGAACCCAGATACCGTGGGGAGGTAGAGTAGGTGGGAAAGCAGGGAAGGGAGTAAAGTCCCCAGAGAGAATTATCATCCTGTTACCTCCATAGCCCTGCTATTTGGGTGCCCTTGTGACAAATACGGTAACAGCTCGAGGTGATTTCACTGGGCTCTCTTGTAACTGGGGCCACAGCATCCTGCCAAGGACCTCAGCCTTGCATCTGCAGTCAGACAGGGACCTGAAGTCCCTGCGGTGAACGGGGACTTCTGTGCCTCCATGGGGGCAGCCACTGCGCTGCCCAGCCATTGGTGCTGTATGGAAATGCCTTATTAGATCTTCTGACTTTTCAAATAAAATCATTTTTCTTTTAACATAGTGAAAGTCAACAAAACACATTGGGGGGCCATCCCTTTTCAACCTCTGACCTCTTTAAGGGGATTTAAAAGTTCCAAAAGGCCAAGTCAGACAGGGACCTGAAGTCCCTGCGGTGAACGGGGGCTTCTGTGCCTCCATGGGGGCAGCCACTGCGCTCCCCAGCCATTGGTGCTGTATGGAAATGTAGGCCTGGCCTTGTTAGATCTTCTGACTTTTCAAATAAAATCATTTTTCTTTTAAGATAGTGAAAGTCAACAAAACACATTTGAGGGCCATCCCTTTTCAACCTCTAACCTCTTTAAGAGGATTTAAAAGTTCCAAAAGGCCCTAAGTCTCAGAACATGTTGGGTCACTCTGCCACTGCCCCAGATCCCACCATTAGTATCACTCCTGTAGGCGAGAAGCATTTTATAAGCAGCAGCAAACTTTCTTGGAGGGTTAGATCATCTGTCACCCATTGGCAGCCCTAACCTGAGTGAAATTGCTGTAGCCTGTCAATCATCCAGGCCTAAAAGAGTGGGGGAGGTGGTGGGAGACAAATGTAGATGTTGAGCATCTATGCTGTGCCTGGTGCAGACCAGGGGTTGCAAGGTATAAAAGGCACCGTCAGGAAGTTCTTGCTGCAGCATAAATAATTGTTATAATAAAGGAGACTGTGGACTTGGCTGAGGGTGTGAGGTATTTCTGGTTTTCGTCACTGTGGAGCAGTAACAGCAGTAATGCTTAAGCATTTCATTGGAGCCTGAAACAATGCCAAGCATTTGTGCTGGCCTGGCCGTTCAAGGCCCCCGTGGAGGTGGAGGTCTCTGCTGAGTTTAGGAGTCCACTTTGGGGAGACACACATGCACACTAACAGATGAGTAAGTCAGTTTCTTTCTGTAAGGATTTCTGAGAATGTAAACAAGCTCTCCAGCTCCCTTTCCCAAATGAGAAGGTATTAGATGAAAGGGAAAGAATGCACAGTGCCTACCAGGCCTGGACCAGAGCGCTAGCTTCTCCTGGGTGAAAACCACAGTGCCTCTGTCAGAGTCCTTGAGTTAGTGGTGGGACTGGGGAGGTGGTAACACTTCGGTGAAAGGGTACAGGAGCCACTGTGTTTGAACCTGTAACTCCAACACAGGCTCTCACCCAACCAGGTTCTTCCCAGTTTTCGCTCTGTGATTCAGAGCTGTTCTGTGACTGTTTGCATGAGTAGATGGACATCACTGGTCAAAACCAGAGTTCATGTCACACAAACAAAGCCCCTACTGATTGCTCCTGCGTCTCAGAGCTTATCCCAAGTGGGGAAAAACTGATGGAAGCAGCAAGGAGCTGGGATATTGTAAAGATGCGGTTCTAAGTGGTCAGAAATGCCCAAGGCGCAGAGAGATTTCAAGAAGTTGAGCAGGTCAAGCTGACCTACTAGTAAATGAGGGTCCTGAGATGGACCGTCTAGGCCAGCGGTTCTCAACCTGTGGGTCG